AAACACACTGTAAATTCAAACACACAAACGGGTCAAAAGGAAAGGAAGGAAAAAGCCATTCCACGCAGACAGTTTCCAGAAGGGGGCTGGGGTTGCTGTACTAATATTCGATAAAACAGGCTGTATGCCAAAAACCATTACGAGGGACAAGGAAGGACATTACATATTGATAATTTAATAATTTATTATTTACTTTATTCCATAGTAAGTCTAAAATCATAAAATTTAATTTAATCAATAATTTATTAAATGAATTAACTTACTATTTTTTTCTCTTCTAGCCAATATTTAATAATCCCATAGTAATTGATGTGTAAAAACACGTCTTTATGACCTGTTACCACCCACAAGAATGCATCAGAATAACTTTCAAGAATATGTTCTTTGACTTCTAACCCGGGCTCTTCTTTAGAATTACCTTTGCTGCGGCCAGCACATGCTCCTTGTTAGTGACTCTCCATTTCTTTTCACAAGCGTTTGTCCTGGACTCTTCTGCTGATCGACGAACAAACAGTAAACAGCTGAGATGAACCAGGAAATCGCCACTTTTCTCCAGACCAAGTTGAGGCTTCTGTGGCTTGAAGACTCGCTTTAGAGAGCCACGGGGAGCCTTGCGCTTCATCCGCTCCCTCTGGGAGACTGTGGTCACAGCGCCCCCCTGTTCGTCAGGTGTCAGCTGCCTCCGCTTCCGAGGGGCTCCCTGCCCCGCACACAAGCTCAGGGAACCCATCCGGTCCCTCTGATGCTGCTTCAGACCCAGACACCGCGGTCCGGGTGTCCCGCCACTCCAGTGGACACGCGGTGGTGCACCTCGCCTGCATCTGCCACTCATCCCACTACGGCAAGCGCCTGTTGGGGACTCTCTTCGTGCACCGTTTCTCCCAGGGCACCGCGCCTTTGCACAACATCTTCAAGAATTGCAGCTACTACTGGGGCTTCGCTGCGTGGACGGCCTGTGACATCAACCGCCCTCTCTACACACCCCTACCTATGGCACTCAGCAGGTGAAGCTGGCACTCGCCATCTTTGTGATTTGCCAGCTCGGCCACTTCTCCATGGCCCTGCGGGACCTGCGGCCGCTGGGTCCAAGACTCGGAAGATAAGTTTGTAAATAAGTTGATTCACCAAGATTATATCATTATAAGCATATATTATATATTATATATATTAATCTGAAAATCAGTAATAGTAAAAAAAATCTGCAAATACACGGTCATTAACCAACACATTTTTTGTTTTTCAGAGGGGGTCTTACTGTATTGCCCAGGCTGGAGGGCAGTGATGTGATCTTGGCTCACTGCAACCTCCACTTCCTGGGCTCAAGTGATCCTTCTGCCTCAGTCACCAAAGTAGCTGGGACCACAGCCAGATGCCACTGTGGCCAGCTA